AGCCCATTTTTAAATTTTGTGGTTCTCTTGCTATTGAGTTCCTTATATATTTTAGATATTAACTCCTTATCAGATGTGTGTGGATTACAAAGATTTTCTTTTATTCTATAAGTTATTTCTTCACTCTGTTGTTTCCTTTGCTGTGTAGAAGCTTTTAAATTTAATGTAATCCCATCTTTCTAGTTTTCCGTAAGAACAGTTGCTAGTGCTATTTCCCCATGGCCCCTGCGTACCTTGATCCCGTTCATCCTTCAGGCATCAGAGTGAATGTTAGGTCCTTGCAGAGCCTACTTCAAACCATTTAGCCCTAAAGTAATCCTTCCTCCATAATCTTCCCCAAGTGCTCTCTAGCACATCACTCTACTGACTTCCCTTAAAGAACATACAAGATTGGAAATTATCTTGCTTTATTTGCTTCTTCATTTAGCTACTGTCTCAGCATAATAGGATGTAAACTCCCAGATGGGAGGTGCCTGGCAAGTCTTAATGCTTTATTGCTAGCTCCTAGCACAATATTACCTTAATGAATAAATAAGGTTTAAAGTCACTCTGAACAGACATGAGCATTTGAATTAGCTCAGGAGAAATGCATTCTTGATTTCCTTAAAATACAACCTGAATAACTTTTATGGCATATGTTTAGCTGATACTCTTTTTAAGGTATCAGAATGTACAGGAACAGCTGTCAGGATTTCTGATTTTCCATTGTTTTTCTTCTTGGAAAGCAGAATAATGTTTTAATTTTTCCCATGAGGACACTGAAGGCCAGAGATGTTAAGTGCCACCTTAGATAACTTTGTGACCAGAGCCTGAGCTCATGATTTCTGATGTTTGGGTGTTGTTGTCACTAATAAAGACAGACTAGATAGATATGGGAATGGAACTCTGCATATTTCTTCTCAGTGTATTTTCCATAATCCTTTCTCTTAACACTCAATAGACATTTTTGTCCACCATGAAACATATTTATTCCTGGTCAAAACCAGACTAATAGAGGGTATCTACTCACTAATTTATTCCTTTGACACCTGTAGTATGTTCTTTGAGAAAAATGATCTTGCAAAGGAATGAGATAGAATTTAGAAAGCATCACATAACTTCAGAAAGTGAAGTTTCTGTAATGGGGTCATAGTTATTTGGAACAGATGTCTAAATAAAGTGATGCCTAGGGCTACTACATCGAATTTAATTTTCATTAAGGATTAACTGCACAGGAAAAAATATTGTAGTTGTAAAAATTGACCTTGTCTATCAAAGTTGGCTACTTTTACTAATTGGCTTTTATAAAGTCTACTTGTTCTTTTATATGAGCAACTGTAAAATATATTAGTCTATTTTGGAGAAACTCATGTAAGCTAAAATAAAATTGAAAATTGCTAATGTGTTTCATGGTTATTAATTTTCATTTAGACATGTCTATCATTGTTTCATACACAGTTTAAAATCTGATGCTCATAATATAGCTGCCAGTATTTGTGAATTAGTACAATCTGAAAAGATGTTGGAATGCTGTAAATTTTTTAAAAATTTTCTGATTTTTATTCCCTTTTTCTACTAACTTTGGGCTTAGTTCTTGTTTTTCTAGTTCCTTGAGGTGTGACATGTAGGTTATTTGGGATCTTTCTTTCTTTTTTTTTTAACGTAGACATTTGTTGCTATAAACTTTCTCCTCTTAGAACTGCTTTTGCTGCATCCCATAAGTTTTGGTATGTTGTGTTTCCAACTTTGTTTGAAGATATTTTTTAAGTTGCCTTTTAATTTCTTCATTGATCCATTGGTTATTCAGGAGCATGTGGTTTAATTTACATGCATTTATGAATTTTCTGAAATTTCTCTTGCTATTGATTTCTAGTTTCAAACCATTGGGTCAGAAAAGATATTTGATATGATTTCAATCCTCTTAAGACTTGTTTTGTGGCTTAATAATGACTTATCTTGGAAAATGTTCCATGTGTGCTTAAAAATGTATATTCCTGGTGCTGGATGAGATGTTCTATGTATGTGTGTTAAGTCCATTTGGTCTAAAGTGTAGTTTAAATCCAATATTTTCTTACTGATTTTGCCTGGATGATCTGCCTTTTGTTGAAAGTAGGATATTGAAGTCCCCTACTATTATTGTATCTCTCTCTCTCTCCCCCTTCAGATCTATTAATATTTGGTTTATATAGAATGCCACAAGAAGTTCTGGGATATTGATTCACTAATTTTAGGAATGAATGAGGCAAATAGGAATGATTTACTGTGTTATCTCATTTAATGCTCATGAGTAGCCTGTAGGGTTGTTGAGATCCTTTATCTTTCTACTGAGGTAATTGAGTCAAAAAAGATTAAGTAATGTGCCTCATGCCCCACAGCAAATAATTAAGTGCTTAATTAAGCCGCAAGGCTGTTATTGAAGAGGGAATTAACTTTGAATTTATTGAAGCATTTATACAGGTATCTTTAAATATCTACTTAAGTACAAAACTTTTGTAAGAAAGATAACACTTTTATTGCATTATAATTTCATATTTTACAGGACGCATAATGCAAACTCATAAGCATAAATATATACATGATGCAACCAACTGGCAATGTAACCACTAAAAGATTTAAAACATAAAACTAGAATTTAACAGGCAAAATACTTAATATGGCTTTTAATGGAAAATAACTGTTTAGAAATGATTTGTTATTGCCCCATTCTAGTCATTCCCCATCAAATGAACACAAAATTATAATCTCCATTTTAAAATGGAAAATGTTATCTAAGCCAATGTTGTATACATTTTATAACATGTAGTATGCAATATGATTTGTGGACGTCCTTAAATATACCTACATTTGTACATATATATACATATACAGTACACAGTTCTGATTTATTACCCCTGAACATGTTGATTTAAAACTATTACAATTTTTCTATTAGAAAACTATTTGAAAAGTTGGCATAACTTCTTGGTACTGAAGTTGAATCCTACAGAATTAAAAAAAAAATAAAGCAACAAAAATGTTGGTTATAAATACATTCTTTACAAAAAAATTGAATAGTGGTCCCGCACTCATACTTTATATTACAGTGAAAACATTTTATTCATTTAAAGGAATTGGTATTGTGTTGTCCATGGTTTCTGTGTGACACACACAGAAGTTAATAGTGAGAATATCGTAGGCAGGCCTATTGGTTAAGTTTTTCTATGTGTTCATTTTTGTGTAAGTTCCAATTCTCTTCTTTTGAGTTGTTGTTGATTTCTATTTGCCTTGTATTACTGCTGCTGCTGCTTCTTTTGGTGTTCTGGGAACACTGGGTGACTTTACTTCTAGGAACAGGAAGAAAAGATTTAACTCTTGAAACACCCGGCTCAGTCTTTGATTTATTGTTGCTGCATTCGGTAGTTTGGTGGCTGCTGAGAGGACTGATCTCCTGTGAGAAAAGAGAAGCCAAACAAGTTTATCACTGTTACCAGCCCCAAATCTTCCTCCTTCCTATCTCGGAGCAAACACCCAGGAGTTTCTCTCTCAACCCAGGTTTTCATGAGAAATAAACCTACTGCTTGATTTTCATTAGGCCGTTCCTGGTATTACAAAACTCCTAAATGCAGTAGACAGTGAATCAAGTGCTAATGAGTCTGAGCTCTCTTACCAACAGGAACTTCATGAAATGCTGGGCATGAGGAGAGCACCAAGTTGGACTAGTTCAACCAACTCTCCGTAGGCAGCTCTACACCTAAACCATGTCACCTTGGATAAGTTACCTAGCTTTTCTGCTTTCTACTTTTAGATATTTAAAAAAATGAAAAAAAAGGACAATTAATAATCAACAAATATTTTTTGAGCATTTGCTACAAGATAAGCACTGTTCTACTTGCCTGGCATATAGGAGAACAACATCTGAGAAACATTCCTGCTCTAGAGAAGCTTACATTCTAGTGAATTAAGGCTCCTGCCTAGGATTCGGTGGGCTCAAGATCTTCTGTACTTGGTAACTGCATCTTCTCATTTTTCTAGTGTTTCAGAACTCTTATGAGCACCTGGTCCACGTCTCCCATTTTGTCGATGAGGCTGGGACAAGACCTCCGGTCTCCTGATTTTCACTCAAGGTATTTTCCACTATATTGTATTAAATTCTGCAAACTAACAAACATGAGATTTTTGCCTAAAACTAGGCAAAATATGTAATACGGCTTTGATGGAAAGTGACATTTTGGCTGGCAGTTGCATTCTCCTGGGTGTCTTCTTAAAACGGTGGTTGTTACCTATGGCCACAACATTGGAATCATGTGGGGAACTTTAAAAACCATGGATTAGGCCTCATCCCTAGAGATTCAGGTTTAGTTGTTCTGGGGTGTGGCACAGACACAGGTTCTTAAAAATCTCCTGCATGATTCTGATGTGCAGCCAAAGTCGACGACCCCTAGCTTAACTCCACAATATCCTTCTTCTCCACTGATATGTTCAGTGGCAATAGTGCTCTTTGCCCTCTCTGTTCACACCGTTGATGACCTTTCCTTTCTGCCCATTCTGAGTGTTTCAATTATCTATCTTTAGCCCTCATTTATCTCCTGCTTTTGAGAACTGCACTTCCACTAATTGACTTAATTCACCTCTGTGTCTAGCTGGCACTTCAAACTCAATTTTTCTAAAACTGAAATTGTCATATTCCCTCATTCCCACCCAGTTCTAAAAGCTTTCCTCTTGTCTCCTTAGTGATTAATGCTATTCTCCCAGTAAATTGGGCAGGTTATCTTTAACACCACTACTCTCTCCCCGACCTGATCCAATGTTGCCTGCAAAATGGGCAGAGAATTATGGCTGTGTTGGTGCAAAGGAAGGGGATCATTTAAATCTTCATTAACTGCAGAACTGGTCCCAAATTCCTAAGCATGCTTAAATGGTGCGATAGCTGTGCAACTCTAGTATACATTTGGCTAGAGGTTTCAATGCTTTTATGTAATAAATGAAGAATAAAGAGGGGACAAATATAGGGTCCTGAACACATGCATTGGCAGGGGAAAGGAAAGAAAGAAGGTGAGGCTGCAAAAGTCTGGCTTAAGAAGACAACAGCTTTCTGACAAGTTTCCTCTTTGGGGAATCATGAAACAAAGACCAGCTGCATGCAGGAAGCACAGGAAAGATGGTTAGGACATACATATCCTAGCCGGTCCTTGTCACCTCCATTTGTACTTCATAGTAGGTAAAGGATGAATAGAAAAATAAAAGAAAATCACAATCTGCTTAGTATGTTCTACTTTTATTTTGCAGAGACACTTACGCTGTCAAGTTACCAGAATGAGAAATTGCTTCTTATGAGTTGGTTAGTCATATGCCGAGACATAACTAAAACCTCAGTACAGGCACCATAATCCATTTCTCCTTACAAGAAATTACTTTTTAAGTCTATAAAATGGGACTTTAGTCATGGGCCTAGGAAGGCCAATTTCAACTCGTAATTTGGTCTAAAATACTGGCAAATTCAATATATATAAATTCAACGTATATACATAGTATTCAGAAAGCATGGCATGTTCTAAAATAATAACAGCTAGTTGGCATACAGAATCTATGGAGGTGGGCTGATTTAACTATAAATAATCTTGCCACTATTACTGAACTCCCTCTGGCAATCCACAGGGTTAGGGCCAAGGCCCAGAGGGAGGAAAGGAGACACACACAGTGGAGTCTGTCCCTTTGCAAGGAGGCAAGGGGGGCAGGGTGGTGGTGCATCCTCACAATCTGAGGCAGGAAATGTCCACGTGAAATGAGGTGCCAAGAAGCACTCGCAACAGCAAAAAAATGGAGTTGGGTAGCTGGGGGCGGGGGTGAGGATAGGATAGGATATGAGGAGGTATGATGAGAACATGGAACATCACTTGGGCTTAGTGTGGGCCACAGTAATTATAGAGCAAGTGACCAAAGCCCAGTGTCCTGCACGAAAGAGTGATGTTCCTGGCACCCTGGAAGCCAAGCACAGGTTTTGAGGTATCTTCTCCAAAGCTAAGATGTACCAGAATTTTGGAATAGGAGGGTTAACAGTGTTTAATGCTTTCTGGGCTAAAATTCAAAAGCTCTCTGTATTAAAAAGTTACTATAGATATTGCTGTGCATGTTAAATTCAAAGAAAAACTCTAATTTGTATAGAAAAGCACTGTGCTAGGTACATTGTCGTTATTTAGCTTTAAAGAATTATTGTTAGAATCAGTGCAAATCATTCAGTAATAAGCATCTACCAGAGGCTAGAAGGGTACCACAATTCCTCTGGCTGGGGAAGTAGGGTGCAGGGAGAAAAGGAAAGTGTAGGGAAGATGGCAGTGGAGGTGGGTGTGTAGATGTATAGGACGTGGGTGATGAGAGTGTTCTAGGCAGGAGGAAGGGTGAAGAGACAGACACAGGGAGGTGTGGGAATAGTAAACTGCATGTAACAAGATACATGTAAAAACAGGTTATGTGAAGGTGTATCAATCCCTCTAAAGACACACTTGGAAAGAAAGCTGTGAGGAGGACAGATCAGAGCTATGTTTTAGAGCAGCGGATCTCAGCCCCAGCTCCACAAGAGCAGCATCAGGGAGCTTTAAAACACCCAGTGTCCAGGCTACACCTCAGATTAATTACATCAGAACCTCTAGAGCCAGAGCCCAGGCACAAATCCTCAAGTGGATTTCATCATGCAACCAAAGACAGGAACTTTTGCTTTAGGCGGATTAGTGTGCATTTACATGCAAGGAAAAAATATTGATTAGTAGTGCTCTATTGATGATTTAAGTATGTGTGTATATTTGTTGTTAGGCTGGCTAACATGCCCCTTGATTAATAACCCCATTATGTTCCCCTACTGGTAGAGCTGTAAGAAGTTATATTGTGGCAAATGCTGATAAGGACGATAATTTACTCGTTTTCTAATAGATAATGGTGGTTGCAAGGCCCCTCAGTGATGGAAGCACAGCCAGCCTTCTGGCCCAAAGGTGAAAGTGATTTCACGCTAACCCAGAGAGCTCTTACCTTTAAAGGGAGTTACTTCCTGATAACAGAAGTAAGTAAGCATCTAACCAAGAAATGCCAGTTGAGTAACGAGAAGGATAGAAAAGGAATGAGCCTGCCAAGCTTCCAGCAGGGAGCCAAAGGAGTGCCACTCTGCCCTCTGCTGGCAGGTCCTGAGAAAAACATCTTCCAAATGTCCAGAGGACGAAGAAATAGAAGAGCAGGAGGCAGCTGTCCTAAGCCCCACTTCAAATTGCACATTTAAAAAATCCCATAGTTCTTTGGTAAGAGCCAGGTCATATAAAAGGGCACACTTTTTAAAGTTCTGTTTTAAAACAAAGCTGCCCTAAGCTGCCAGAGCTTATCTGACATTCAGTACTACTGTTTGTGGACAGTACCCTATTGTAGCAACCCAATCTGGTCATGTAACAGGTGGGGGTACCAAAATATTTTTCCATTAGACATTTAAACAACAGCAGCCAGTCTCTACCAGTAAAAATATTTTTATACAGGAAAGTGAATAAAAATGTCCCTGTACAGAGGTGGCTCACTGTCCCTCACACCAGACCTTCCTGACGCCTTCCACTGACCACAGGAATCCTAAACTCTTGGGTCCCGGAGGCCCCAGAAATGTGCTCTGGCCTCCAAGCAACCCTAGCTCAGGACGGGCCATCAGACACAGGCAATGAGTCAAGGCTTCAGGGACAGCCCCTGAACAAAGTATTTTCTGACCAGAATGTTCCACAGTGACCCAAGGTCACTTCCTTAGGTCATCTTCCCTTAAATGCTTTCCAGATTTTGCTAGGCTTCTAAACTGTTCCCAGTTGGGGACGGGAGTGTCGGGAAGGCAGATACTATGATAGAGTGAGCTTGAAAGCATGCTCTTCTTCCCAGGGCGTCAAGTTATGGAATTTGTATTAGGGGACCCAGCCCTGAGAACCCCCACCTGCTTCCTCCAGCGCACACGGCTCATGTAGCTGCACATGTAGCTAGCTAGGACCGAAACCTCACAAGGCAGTGGGGGAGCAGGGCCCAGCGCTGCCAGGTGATCAGATAAGAGTAAGAGTTCAATAGTCTGAGAGTGCTCATTTTATAACCCTGTTCTCTGCACCCCACCCTGCCACCCACACAGGTCTTTGTAAGCCACCCGGAGTAGATGAGAACAGGATGTGAAGGGCAATCAATTGACATGGCTAGTGAACAAACCACACCTTACTAAGTGCCTCTATGACATCTGTATGCTCACAAACTAACTAGTGGGTAAGAAGTTGTTTTATTGTTTCTGTTCACCCAAGAATGCCATGCCAGGCCATCTCTTGCCATTTATTAACCAATCCATTATGGTGCCACACTGCAGTCAGGGAAGCTATTTCAAGAGGTTAATGAAGTCTGTTGGAATCCTGGCTCTTCTGTTTGCCTTTCAGACTTGTTTTTAACGGAAAGTCGCTAACTAAAACATAATGCCTGTTATGGCAAGTTAGGAAACTGAAATGAAGTTTGTGTTAAAAGGTCTTTGTTACCACTCAGCCCTTTGCTGTAATTACTTCCATTTTCCAAAGTACAAGAAATCGTAAGTTTTCAAATGAAAAATACATTTTAAAATGGAACAGCCAATACGACAGGGGTTGCATTTCAGTAGTACTCCCTTATCCACAGTTTTGTTTTCTGCGATTTCAGTTACCCACAGTTTAAAAATATTAAATGGAAAATTCCGGAAACAATTCATAAGTTTTAAATTGTGGGCCATTCTGAGTAGCATGATGAATGAAATCTCATGCCATCCTGCTCTGTCCCACCTGAGAAATGACTCATCTCTTTGTTCAACTTTTCTATGCTACTTGCCTGTTAGTCATTTAGGAGCCCTCTTAGTACCAAACCCTACATGCTATGTTTTTTTGATAACTATCTGTGGTTTTGGGCATCTACTGGAAGCGCTTGGATCATATCCCCTAAGGATAAGGGGGGACTACTGTATTTCCAGTTTTGGCATACAAGAATGAAAACAAACGGAGATCTTCTCAAAAGACATCCACATTTTTGGAGTAAAATTTTAGGCATCCACTAGAAGGAAAAAAAGGTAGTGCTTTTCTATGTCATTCTTTCAAGATATTATTAATACCGAAACAGTGATTTTTCTAATCTTGATTACCCAATGAATATTTTTATCTTTATCCTATTTCTCATTTCCTAGGTGTGGTTTAAAAATAACTTTGTGATTCACACTGAAAGTTTTGTGAAGTCAATTCTATAACAATCCTTCCTCGTCCCTTGGGGAGAAAGGGGTACTTACCTTTTGTGACACTGGCATTCTTGGATTATGAACAGTTGCTGAAAATGCAGGGTTGTTTCCTGAACCATTAAACGTCCTTAAATCATCCCTGGAATCAGCAATCTGGAAAATGTACATTGGTCAAGTCATGTCTGCACAGGTACATGTCACGGTGGAGAACCTACAGCAGAAGCGTTACCCTCGACCCTCAAATCCTGAGCTGCTCCCATGAAAGTTTTGAAGCCTTCCTATAAAACCGACAGTAAATACATGAGAAATAGCCTCTAAGGGAAAACAATCTATTTAAAAAGTCAAAAGATGACCAGAAGAACTCTATGGGAAAAAAGTCACTGGGCAAGTAAAGAAAGGATATAAAATGTGCAAAATTTTAATCAACACCTTATTTTTCCAGTGGATAAGTATTTCAATTCGTTTCCAGCAAGGTTAAATAAGGTAGTCAATTCTCCTTTGTCCTAGAAATTATTACTATTCCAATGAAATAGTGGAAGCTTTCAGTGGAACCTGAGCAAGTTATATAACTATCTTCTGTTCCCTTTCAGATAAGAGACATTTATCAGGAAGCTCGGTGAAACTTGCTGCAGGTACCAGCATGCCAAAACAGGTTCAACTTGATGTTGTTTATACTTTCTTTGAGATTTTGGGTCACTGGTTTCCATATTTGGATCTCAGATGTCACAGCTTAAACACTATGCTGATATGCATTATTATTTGTAAAGAAAGTTATTGTTGCTGTCTGAAACAGGAGCCTGCTGTGAGGCTTGTCGAGATTCCCTCTTACTGAAAGATGACTTACGTGCCAAAGTTAGGAATACGACAAGGAAAAAAGTTTGAGGAAACTCAAATTTAGTTTTATATAAAACGCTGCTCAAACCTATTGGTGAGATTTGTGCTAGCACAATTAACATACGAGTTTAACTTCAGGTCTTTTAAAGGAGTTTGGAAAAGCTGGCTTTACTAAATAGAGCTCCCTTATTGTATAAATACTATGACAGAAGAAAATGGCTTTTTTAAGCAATATGAGGGATGGTTTGATTTGGAGAATTAACCATACTATTCAATAATGAATTTCTTTTAGAGAATATGTGGCTCCAAAGTCTCTCTGCTGTTGGGTAGAGCGTTCCAAGCCCCCACTCATTTGTACTGCTCACCTTGCTTATGTCGGATTCAGATTTGCTGGAGCACATACTCTGCAGTTCCTTGACAAGATCTGCTTCATCATCCGAACCCAGAGACAGTCTCTGATCCAGATTCAACATCAATGATAGATCATTCTCTAAAGACCTAACACAAAGTTTGGGAAAAGTTTTTCAAAGTGAGAGCAATTCCCAATATGGAAATCTAGACACTGTACCTTTTTTGGGATTTGGCGTGGGGTAGGGAAAGAGTTTATAATATCCTTCTAAGTATTTCATAAATGTCATTTAATGCAACAACCCACTCCCATAGCCTGAATGATTAGAATACTAAGGTAAGAAATCTCCATGGGATTTTGATAACTCCCACTCAAAATTCTTAATAGGATAAAATTTTATTTCACAAAGAAATCCACTTTCACTTACAACATTCTAATCTCCTTATTCTTCACTTTTCTTCTTTCTCCAAGGACAGATAAAAAACTAAGATGCTATACATTGTGGTATTGGGGACAGTGTGATATAAGGGAACAAATACAAATTTCAAACTGGGCCGTACCACTTGCTAGCAATATGGCCATGGGTGTTGGGTTTCCTTTTTATTTTTTTCTCCTAACATCTCCACCGTTCCCTTCTCTGTAAAGAATCCTTATATCGAATTTGCAGAGGTACCACAAGATCGGAAGAATGGGCTCCAGTTGTACTTGCCATCGAATTGGTACTAACTGATGAACACTAGGGGGCTCACATGGCAGTAATACTCTCCAGGGATTAGGGGGACGGGGGGTAAACCTGCAACTAAAGGACATGGGGAGCATTGTAGGGGGGAAGGGCATGCCTTTAACCCTCACTTGGGTGAGGCAAAGACATAAAGTGTAACCATGTTTGTACCCTCATAATACCCTGAAATAAAAAAAAAAAATCCTTATATCTATATTATAGGGTTATTGGGAAAGTGATGTAAGCTATTGTATATAACAGATCTCACAGTGGGCCTGGCAGAAAGTAGTTTCCTTTCTCTCTCTTCACCCTCCCATCTTCCATAATGCTGTGAACCAGGGTCCTGGATGCTAAATATTACCTGCCAAGTGACAGGGCACACATTTATTGGGCTACAATGGGGACCTATTTACAAACTGCCCAGATGTTTCTATTCTTTGATCAACAAAAAAATTCATAAACTGAAACAATCAAAATTTCTTAAGAATAGCATAAGAAAATAAATTATCATTGTAAACCTTTAGCACTTAAAAATAAGTCATGCTATGTTTCTACAAATTTGTGGAAAAAATCATCTAGAAGTTCACCAGTACAGGATTTTACCATATCTTTATGTCAAATGCATTAAACTTGATTAAAAAAATGAAGCCTATAATATTTCTAGCCTTATTCAATAATACAAAATAGGCTTTATATTAAGTTATTTAAGTTACGGGAACTTTTTTGTAGATATCATTCATTTATTAGATTTCTGTTTAATACCAGCATTAGAATGACATCAGTTACTCTTAAAGAATCTCATTGTACAAACTAATAATGAGAACATGGAACATTTAAAATAGTGACTGAAGTTACTTGATTTATCTTTACTGTCTGCTACGAGTTACATGTGAAAGGGGAACTTACTTTTGTTTTGACAGAGAAGCGTTCTTGTTACAATTCAGCTGTGATATAGTCTTATTTTTTACACCTGTGGAAAAAAAATTGTAGTCATTTTCCATAGAGTGTGTCATTGGCCCTGAGCATCCTGAACTCTATTTAAAAGAAACAGACTATGGATTCTGCAGCACTTTCATACTGTTTTTGGATTAATATCCACCTCTCCAGGAGATCTTCCCCAGGGCACTGGGGCTGGACACAGCCTTCTGCACTCAGGGAGTAACCAGCTCCCTCCTGTGCATTTAGGACCGAGCTCAGTACCACTCACAGCACCTGAGGCTCAACCGAGGAATCCACATCTTTGCTTTTAGCAACAGCTTCTCACTAGTCAAGTCCCTATTGCCTTAGGTCCTTGTCCCCAAAGTATGGAAAGAGGAGTTTAACACCTGCCTTTTGATGATGGTAATTTCCCTTTCTCTACCTTTGTTTTCTTCTAAGGTCACTATGTAATCAAGTGTGGTTTTTCATGTGTGCACCTGTTAATGGGCGTGGGCATTAGCCATGCTCTGTAGAAATTTAACATAGCTTTGCATTATACAGAAAAGAGAATATAAATTGTATATGAAGAGTTATGGAATTTAAAAAAATAATACTTCAAATCATACCAATGTTTTTCAAATTGTAGATTATGACCCATTTTTTAAAGAACAGAATAGAAAATAGCCTGTATTGCTTGCCATAAGCATATTGACTTGTATCTGTTTACACACAAATGCACAGGTGTGTGTGTACCGGTCATGATGTGAAATGTATTTCTCATTATGGGTTATGGTCAAGGTTTGAAAAACATGGTTACAAACCATTTCTACAATACTCCAAATTTGGTAAATGCATTAACACATTGAGTTGCTTCTCAGTGAATTCTAAAATTGCATTGATATTGCTGGCACAAATTTTCTCTGAAGAATGTTTTTAAAAAGTAAATTGAATATATCCTCATTAAAAAGTGATCAAAAACCACTGTATGCGTTTCTTTACCCACGCTTCTGTTGCTATCGTCTGGAAGCACTGACTTTCTACTAGTTACCGTAGATGCACAGCCCTGGGCCCTGCCCCCAGGAGCCTGGGGTCCACAGCATCAGCCTTGCTGTTTTAGGTCAGGAAAGGAATGGGCTGTGTCTTTGCCAAATTTTATGAGCTTCCACAGTAATCTGCATACAAAGGGATTCCAGTTTTGGTATTTTTTTTTTTCTAGCAATGTCAAAAAAACAAAAGCAACCCGAATATAGTTGGTTAAAAGCCATCAATGGACCAAATGATGAATTATGTATTTTGTAAAATTAGCTTTTAAATTTTATAAATCTCTATGTTGAAGTCAGTGTAGGTTCCTGTAGCATAGCTTTATTAATCTTTCAAAGAGGTTTCTTGCTTCAAAGAATATAATATTTGACATGCTAAAATGAATGAAAATATAAATGAAATTAAAATCATTTATATTTCAACTTTTTTATATTTAGCATAGTATAGTTTTCTGACTTAGACTTATTTCCATAATATTATTTTAAATTCATTCATTTTATTGATTCTGTTTGTCACTCTAAAGCATATACTGGCAACACTTACTGTTTAGGCAATTATTTAGCTCAAGAAAGTTGGTCCTAAACCCTACAGAAATTCTAACAAACTTGCAAATGATATAGTGAAGAGCCCCAATGGGTGTCCAGTTATCTGAGTGCCACAAGATTAGTTGGCATGGACTAAACAAACAGCATTGAACTTGCAAGAAACAAAAACACAGATTGCAGAAACCCATGTTTCCAGGACAGGTGATTTAGAGGAGGTGGCCAAGGGGTTCTGAACCTGAGTTCTGTTATCTGTAAATGGAGATAATCATCGTCATCACCTTAGAGCTTTTTTGTACACTGAAAGGGCTAAGAGCAAGGGAAAAGTATACCCTTGCTACAGAAAGTCATCTGGGGAGTCCTGATACTATATTGGGGGGACTAAAGTCCAGTGACTCCTACTTCCTGAATCAAATACTCCAACTTTGGGAGGTAATGACAAGCTCTTGTGATCAAAACATACTATTATCAATATATAACACTTATGTTTAAAAAAGTATAAGGAAACTCTTATTTTGTTGAGTGACTAATCACCAAAAAAAAAAAGGTCACAACTTGCTATCATGCACTTAGAGTACTTAGAGAACCCTAGCATATGGTTAAAAACATTAAATTTTATTAAAATTAATAAAATACAAACTTTCAACTTAAGTATGAAAACCTATTCATGACCGAAAGCAATTTTTTAAGAAATATAAGATTTTAGGCATCATATTATTTTACCTGGAAACCCCACTGTTATGAAGTTGGCATAAAATTTCACAAAACAAATACTTTGAAGGGAAAGGCAAATGAATTACATAGATCAGACGACCACAGTGCACGAGAGATGGAAACATCTTTTCTTATTCAAATTTGGATTTCCTTTGGGAAGGACATTTATAATTTGTATAATTGCTGATTATCCTATTATTGGTGCCAAAAAGCATAGGTCTAACATCAGGAATTGATGTGTTATATTTTCTTTGTTAAAATGAAAACTTATATATTTATTTCTTTTTCATATGTGATGTCCCATCATATGGAATCTGTCTAATGATTTATTAGAATGTGAACTCTACGAAGGCAGGGCTTTTCCCCTCTGCTCTATTTCCAGTGCCTGGAATAGAACCTGGCACATGGTATATACCATATATGAAAAAGAAATACGTAAAACTGACTCACTCATAAAGTGGGCCTTAAATGGGTATCAAATATGTCTCTATACATATTTTTTTTAATGTATAAGGTTGGCTTTGGAATAACACAAAAGGAGAGAAATATGGCCAAATGCAATGATTTTATTATGTGAATTTAATTCTAGATACCAAGAAAAACAAATTAATGAAAAGCAAGTGACCATTCACAAGATAAATTTAATTTTGGAATTCTAGTATAAAAGTGGTATTTCTCAGGTAAGAGGCTCCCAAATATTTTTGGAAATGTAGCTACTATATAGCATGTTTATTGCATGAAAATGTGCATTGAAATACTTAGGACTTTGTTTTGCTGAATGCATAGTGATACAGATCAAAGCACATTTGCATTCAGACCCTGGATCAGGAGTGCTCACCTCCTCCTAGGCACGCCCACTCCCTTACCTTCGTTGCTCAGGTCTGGCTTATTCCAGGTGGGGGAAGAGAATCGGCCAGATTTCCTGCGAGGACTGGTGTTCACCTTTCTCCAGGCACCACTCTCTTTCTTCTTGCTACAACTGTTATAATTTGAAACCAAGGATAAAGGAAAACTTCCTCCTTTGAAATCGGCTGTATGCTGGTCAAGCTCTGAAACAATACGAATCACAGCAGTGATAATCACAGCAGTTTCACAGAGTAAAGCAAAATATATTTTCAATTACCAAAGATACGGACTCTTCAAAAGCACGGACCTGCTTAATTACCCAAGCCGGGGTTTTATGAATCAGCACAAACTTTACCTGGAGGTCTGGAATTTAAACCTGAGCCAATAATTAAAAACAGTTCTGGCGCAATGTTGTGAAACGTATGTTAATTTCTCTAGTTACAGAGAGAAAAAAGAATGCTTCCTAAAAAACAAATTCCAAGCAGTATTATATAAGGGTGTGAATTTCCCCTCCTCCCTGAAACATACCTGCTCTGGGGAGGGGACAGCCATGTAGCACAGCTTTATTAAGCAAGATGCTGAGAGCAGCTTTAACCACAGCCTGCTGTCCCTGGCTAGGGTGTTTTTTAGCGGTTGTCTGCCCAAAGCCAGGTTGTCTTTTCACAGAGGCTCTTGACAATATTGCTTCTTGAACTCTGGGTGCGATGACTGCATTCCACAGCTTAGACATCCACCTAGCAAGGGAGAGGCAGATTCATCAGTTAAGAGCAGGCCTCTCAATAATTACACACAACTCTACAAAAGGACAGGTCTGAAGACCATGGGTAAAAAAACACAAGTATTTCTATAGATGTGCTACCTTTTTTGGGTAGTTTTGGAATAAGTGAAAATATCTAATACCAAAGTAGTTTGCATTTGCCTCAAAGATACAACGTAATTTCAAATGAAACTGTTTACATGTCTCTTTCATGGTATTAAACAGAAATCTATAAATCTAATACATGAACGACATAAAAAAAATGTTCTCAGCTTAATACAACTTAATATAAAGGCTATTTTGCTTTTAGTTTATTGAATAAGGCTACAAATATCATAGGCTTCATTTTTTTAATCCAGCTTACTGCATTTGACATAAAGATATGGAAAAATTCTGTATTTGTGAACTTTTACAGTCTTTACATGATTTTTTTCACAAATTTATAGAAACATAGCATGAATCAATGCTTGCGTGTTTGCTAAGTGAGTGAATGCATGAATAAATAAATACATGGAAAGGAAGGTAAAGATTGAAGAAGTCTGGATAAAATGCAATTTCCTAAAAGTCTGTGTCCAAATAGCTTAAACTTACTTGTCACATTTCCTTAATAAGGTATACATCTATTGTATTTTAATATTTCTGAAATTGGGATACATTATAATTACTGGCAAATTAAGTATGCCTGCCCCAAGGCCAGGGCTCATTGTGCATGTGGGTGGGCTGAGTCCTACAGACAGAGTAAATTCAACCAGCTATCAACTCAGGTGGACTCCTTGCATTAATGGCCCTAAACAGTGGGAGTTTAGCCCAAATTTGGAGCACTTAATGACAATTAAATTCCTTCAAAAAAGATTAGCTTTGTTGCAGTATTTAAAAAGTTCTGTAATTAATGGCTGTAGAAATAAAACTACATCTCCCAGGACAGGAAAATTTTCAAAGCTATTAGATATTGGCACAAAACTTAAAAGAACTGTCAGAAACTATTACCCAGGTGGTAAGCATCCATCTACTGTAAGCTTCTCTGTTAATATCTAGTGATACACAATTCAAGAAAAAAAACGAAACTATAACATGGAATAGAAACAAAATTCTGGTATTATACGACATGAGTCAAAATTATAGTTATTCATAAAATTGCTAACGGTGTAAAGATAATCGGCTGTTGGGATGCCATTCTCCGTGGCATTTCTGCACATCTTGTGTCAGCTTTGATTCTGGATTCTCTTCAGATTTGGAAGACAGATAAGTGTCTTATTCTGGAGCAGAGGGCAAATGTTTCCTGATCAGGATTATATTTCTGCCCAGAATACCAGAAAAATGCAGAATCGAATCTGCTAATCACAGAACGCTTACTAAGCTGGATGGTGACACTTTTTTTCCTCCTTTCAATTTCTTGCTGATTTTCTATTTCATTAACTGCATTATGTCTATGTCTGTTGTCAAAAGCTGCTTCCCAGGAAAACATAGTAAGTACTATACATAAGTCTCAATCATGGAGGAAGATTTTCAATTCATCAACAGAAGGAAGGGATTTTGGGCAGGGGCAGGGAGGTACATAAAATCCGTGCTATTAGGTTGGTGCAAAAGTAATTGCAGTTTTAGCATTATTGAAATTTACCGTTTACTTTTGGAATACATTCTTAAATAAATGTGGTTATGTTATACATTATTCTGATGTGCATTTCTTTTTTTTTTTTTTTTGCTAATGACTTATTACTTGCTGTTTATATTTATTTGAGACTATGGAAATGATGTTAGACAAAAAGCAAATTTTAGCGATTTTCTTATTCGAGTTCAAAATGGGTTGGAAAGCAGTGGAGACAACTCGCAACATCAACAGTGCATTTGGCTGAGGAGCTGCTAATGTACATACAGTGCAGTGGTGGTTCAAGAAGTTTTGCAAAGGAGATAAGAGCCTTGAAGATGAGGAGTGCAGTGGCTGGCCATCGGGAGTTGACAATAACCAATCAAGAGCCATCATCAAAGCTGATCCTCTTACAACTACATGAGAAGTTGCCAAAGAACTCAACGTGGACCACATTCTATGGTCGTTTGGCATTTGAAGCAAATTGGAAAGGTGAAAAACCTCGTTAAGTGGGTGCCTCATGAGCTGACTGAAAATCAAAAAATTCATCGTTTTGAAGTGTCATCTTCTCTTCTTGTATGCAATGAAGAACCATTTGTCGATTGCATTGTGATGTGCAATGAAAAGTGAATTTTATGTGACAACCAGTGACGACCAGCTCAGTGGTTGGACTAAGAAGCTCCAAAGCACTTCCCAAAACCCAACTTGCACCAAAAAAAGGTCATGGTCACTGTTAGGTGGTCTGCTGCCGGTCTCATCCACTACAGCTTTCTGAATCCCAGCGAAACCATTACATCTGAGAAGTAGGCTTGGCAAATCCATGTGATGCACTGAAAACTTCCGTGCCTGCAGCTGGCATCGGTCAACAGAAAGGGCCCAATTCTTCTCCGCGACCACTACCAATGGGGCACGTAGCACAAATAATGCTTCAAAAGTTGAACTAGTTGGGCTACGAAGTTTTGCTTCATCCACCCTATGCGCCTGACCTCTTGCCAACCTACCATTTCTTCAAGCATCTCGATAACTTTTTGCAGGGAAAACGCTTCCACAACCAGCAGGATGCAGAAAATGCTTTCCAAGAGTTTCTCGAATCCCGAAGCACGGATTTTTATGGTACAGGATAAACAAACGTATTTGTTGTTGGCAATAATGTGTTGATTGTAATGGTTCCCAATTTTGATTAATAAAGGTGTGTTTGAGCCTAGTTACAATGATTTAAAATTCACGGTGCAAAACTGCAATTACTTTTGCACCAACCTTGATAAAATTTCTCACATTGAGAAATTACTCAGGAGACACTGCACAGCAAGGCAAACATGGCTTTGATGAGAGTTTTGTAATAGATAAAGTCCTACCCAGCTCTTGGCAAGAATATAATTGCCTTAGGAACTACATAACAGAGATGTTGTGGTCATCCTCTGACAGCGCAGAGCACTGGCACTCTGGGTTGGGGACAGGAGATGAGGGAAGGCAGCCTGGCCAGCATTCTCTCTCTCAGACATCCCAGACTTGCCATGGCTCTACTTTAAGAAGGCAAATAAGGAGAAATGGCACTTACTTCACTGTTGCTTGGGCGTGTCCTGGGACTATAGGACAAGACAGGAAATACTTTGGCCCAAGAAGTGCTTCAGGTGTGCCCAGGCGGGCCAGGCAGGAGTTGAGCTGACGCCAGACAGACAGAGCCCAGGCGATGGTCTTGCACACAGGATCGCACGGGGAGGGCACCTGACCTCTGAACTAGAGAGACCGGGAGGTGGAACAGGGCTTGGTTTAGAATGATGCTTCTTTTCCTTTGGGTTTTAGAAGTCAAAAATTAAAAATACGAAACTTCATGAAACAAAAATCTAGCTGGATCTGACTGAACCTTACTTAGGGTGGATGAATGAGGGATAGCTAATAACACACACTATTAACAGTAGGTGTGTTAACGTGTTAGTGTGATAAGCATTTTTCTCAAATTTTTGAGACAGAGTCTTGTTTTGTCAGCCAGGCTAGAGTGCAGTGGCATCAGCCTAGCTCACAGCAACCTCAAACTCCTGGGCTCAAGCGATCCTCCTGCCTCAGCCTCCTGAGTAGCTGGGACTACAGGCATGCGCCACCATGCCCGGCTAACTTTTTCTATATATTTTTAGTTGTCCGATTAATTTCTTTCTATTTTTAGTAGAGTCGGGGTCTCGCTCTTGCTCAGGCTGGTTTCGAACTCCTGAGCTCAAACAATCCGCCCGCCTCGGCCTTCCAGAGAGCTAGGATTACAGGCGTGAGCCACCATGCCTGGCCTAATTTTTTCTATTTTTAGTAGAGTCGGGGTCTTGCTCTTGCTCAGGTTGGTCTCAAACTCCTGAGCTCAAGCAATCCTCCTGTCTTGGCCCCCAGAGTGCTAGGATTACAGGCATGAGCCACCGTGCTGGCCTTTTTCATTTAATTTTCACCACAAGCCTGAGGCAGGTATTTCTACCCCATTTTACGTATCAGGAGACTGAGGTGTAAAGAAATAATCTTGCCCAAGGTTCCATAGGTAATAGGTGGCAAAGCTAGAGCTACAGTTTATTTTCATTACGGCATAATTGACAAAAATTGCATATTTATGGTGTGCAATGTGATATTTTGATATATATGGATACCTTACCAAGGTTATGGAAATAACCAAAATTTTCATGGGACAATAACCCAGGGTTCTTGGGATGGCAAAAATTTTGTGTGTGTTGGGGGAGGTGGTGGTGAGTGGGTAAAGGATAGATGTTTATGTATATTTAAAAGTAAACAATCAAACCTGTATTGCTATTTTCTGGGTTAGGATGAAGGATAATCATCCATTGGGTATTTTTTACATACTTTTAAGAGAATTTCATGTAATGGAATAGCCTCACGTTTCCACTTTAAAATGGTAACTCAGTTATTGATTTAGGGTTGTGATTTTAAGTTAAAAGGGATAAGATAATTTTACTAAGTTTATGAAATGGTACAAAAATTCAGGACATTTGAATTGATGGATTTATAAACTTAATTTTCTGGTTTTATAAGTGTTAAGTACTTGGGAAGATTTGTTTGTTAGACAGAAGTTCTTAAAAAGAAAATGTATTAAAGTTTTAAAGACCAATTAAATTGTTTAAGGGAATTTAATTAACTAAGTTATAAGTGTCCTTTCAAAGGTGATTGTTAAATTTTGCTAGATTTATACATAGAAAGATAAAAGCTTGAGGGAAAACTGGGTATTTGGATGTGCAAGTCTAATACACTGAATACATCTTAAATAGTGCTTGAATAATCTCTCTGGAATAAAAACTGTCCTCCAAGGTCCCAACACTCCACAATGATGGATCCTTTCTAAAGGCCTGTCTTTCCATGTGAACGCTAGCTCTATGAGGGTGGGGAGAACCCCTGTCCTCTTCCACAGTCCCCAGGCCAGTGGCAAATATTTACTGAATAAAAAATTAACACTGTTCTGATGTATCTCAAACAAAAGTCTACGGTTGTACTCATCACACTGTGTTTGGATGATCAGTTTCCATAGCTATAGGTCCTTTGATCCCGGTACTAGGTGTTCCTTGCTCTGCCACAGAGGACTTCAAAAATGCTCTGACTGATGGACTGGATGAACAGACTGAGAAGTTCTAAGTCTGGACAGCTGATAACGAGAAGGGGAAGGAAGCTGGGAGTTAGGCGTGGGGGCAGGACGTGTTGAATTTGGTTATATGAGTAGTTTAAGGTGGACTACAGTATACAGACCTGTAGCTGATTACAAGAAATTAACACAAAATAGATTAGTAAGCAGTTGAAGGGAGAAACTTGAATGAATTCTTAAACATCAATTCTGTAAGAAATCATTCACATGTATACAGAGTACCTCATAGGGCCTTCCAAATGGTATTCCAAAAAAGTTTTTGAATTAATAAGAATGACATTAAATATTTTATATTTTGAGTAAGTGATAAATATATAATTGCTATATCTGGATCTGTGGCATGTTTAAATTTGTATTATGATAATGTAAAAAATTTTAATTTCTCTAAAAGGAAGGTGTCAGCTAAAATGCTAACATGAGCAAAATGTACAGAGTTTCTGTCAGCACAAAGAAATTTGTCTTCAAAATTTAAAATGTGCAAATTTTAAGTAATACTCTATAACACAATCTAATGGGAGCAATTCTTTTTAGAATTGTATTTTATAAAATCAAGTCCCTTTTTGGTGGTATAGAGGGTTCACACAAGGACAAAGATTTATTTACTATTAGGCAAAATATCCCTCAATTAGAAGTCAGATATAGTAATTAATGTATTTTATAAGAAAGGAGTGTCACATAAATCTTTGCTTTACCAAGTAATTATGATGTTCAGAATGGGGACAATTGTGAATGTTGGTGTGTCCTACCTGAAGGAAATAATGTGGCCAAGGGAGAAAAAAGAGTGATTCAGTGATACTAGCAGCTCTGTTACATTGACCACTGGGTTATGTGATACCAATTTCCCTTCTCTTCAGAAAAGGAATAACCATTATATATGTCTCACTTTCTTTGATATTTTTTCAGGAAGAATTCTGAGATCATATATTATAATGAATGATCATTGAATACTCATTTCCTACTGAAAAGTATAATTATTTTTTATTATATACTAGTAGGAAGCCTTGTTTTGTCCTGAAAGGTCTATTTTCTTATGTCTCTGCAAAAAATTGGACGAAGAGATTGTGATCAATTGCCAGTGTTCTGTAAGTGCCCACAAAGATTAGGTTCTGTGACATTACACAATTTCTGATGTTTTGCAGTAATCATTTGTTCCCATTGTACGCTTACCCCGGGGAAGGTTTTATTAAGCTACTTGAAGTGCTTCATGGTAAATGAAAGGCATTGCCCTTTTCTCCCTTTCTATTCTTTGCAGCACACCCCACTCTCAAACACAATGGAGAACAGAGTGGAGCTTGAAGCTTGGAACTTTCCTTTCAAAATAAGCTAAATCAATCCTTTTCAAACTGTGTTTATCAGAAAGCTGGTGGGGAGGGAGATACATTTTACCTGAAATAGTGCCAATCCTACAGAATCGAAGCTGGGATCTTTTGTGATCATTTATGTGCATTATTTTTGGCAACAAGATGTAAATATTAGCAATGATGAAGGTGATGGAAGTATCAGTAATTTGCAAAGCTACAGACCTATGACTGTCTTTACCTGACCTTTCCTCCTACTCATGGAGATCATACAAGCGCTGTGCCTTAGCCAAGAGCATCTATTTATGGCCAGGCAACGGACTTTAACATAACTTGGGATAGAAGATTTCTCTAATTAGGAATTTCAGATATTAATTCAAATCAGCAGTGGCCAGCACCGATCACTGAATTGCCAAAAGCCATTCCCATCTCACACTTTCCCCCCCAGTCCCCGCTTTTCCTGTCCCCAGCACACATGCACGCATATTCACACACTAACACGACAGACATAGAACTTTGTAAAAGGACTTGGTGAAGAGCTTCAGTCTTGGGAAGGTGGGTCTGGCTATGGTCTCGGACTGAGGGGTGGGCTGGTTAATGAAACATTAAAGGGAAGCCTTATGTTACTGGAAGTTTCTGGAAAAGTGCTTTCCTCCCTGATAAGGAGGAGACTGAAGAAGCTGAAGCTTTTTATCCTTTGCTGCATCCTGCTTTCCGCCTTTGAAGGTGTTTCTATGAGGGCATGGTGCGGTCTTCAGGGGAAGGTCAAGAGATTCCTGCAGACTGGGGACCTGCGGTACTGATCACCCACCACAAGACATCTGGTTATATGGGGTGTGGGCTCTTTTTGTGAAGCAGCTGGCAGTGGGGTATTTTGTTATTTGCAGCTTAAAATACTGCACTGATACAATGATGACACTGTCCTTCCAATATGGTCCACCCTGCAGGATTAAATGAGAAAATCTTACTAAATGGAGCTCTATTATTTCAAATCTACCCTGACACTCAGCTATTAGCCCAATTTAAGAATATTAAATAATGATATGTTGGATTTGGTCAGCTGTAAATTACTTTTGTTATTTGGGAGACTCCAGAATACCTACTTCATTATTCTGTGAAAAATCACCAGAAATTATCACTCTTGAAAAAAATGTGCCAAAAGATATAGAATTCTACTTTTTCATATTCGGCATAGTGTAGTGTAACAGCCCTATATTAAAACTTGCCTGAATGGAAGTGTAATGCTCTGAAAGCTCTAAGGAAGCAGTAAGTTTTCTTTAAGGAGAGGGATTGATTCTCTAATCAAACCTTTCATAGCATTTACAACTTGGCAAGATTCCTTGAGAACAATTAATAACAACAGTAAAACCTATTTATTTTTTCTTGTACTTAATATAGTCCAGAAACTGTTACAGGTTTCACATTCATTATCTTGTTTAACCCTTGAATATCTAACAGTTTGACTTGGCCCAGGCCACACCGTAAGTGGTTGAACTCAAACCCAGATCTCCTGACATGCAAAACCCCTGCTCTCCCGGCAACAGCTTGCAGCTGCTGTTTGGTACCTTATTTACAAGCTTCCGTCCTAGGAACCTCTGCAGCAGTCCCTGCATGGGCTCACCATCCCACCGCAGCTGCACCCAGCGGAAGTGCTGCTGCACCAGCAAGTCGGAGCCCTGCAGACAGGCCTTGGCAATGGTTCCCATCAGAAAGCAGTTCTCGTGGAAGTAGTAACATTCAGACATCCCGTTTCCTAAAATAAACCAAAAGCAATGGCCTAACCTCAGCGAGTCTTATTATGGGGGCAAATGCAAATTAAAATCGGTTAAAGACGAACATGAAGTATGTAACGTGTTCTCTGGGGAACAGAAAGATCGGAATATCACAGAAGCTTCTCAGTGTGGTCTCTCTACCATCGTTACCTTTCTGGAAAGTACAGGGGCTTTCAGTGCTGCGAATTTCAAGAGGTGCCAAAAAGTCCCCCAATAACTCAGATAATGAAGATTTTTCCAAATTCTCTAAGATGATGATGATTTTCTTCTTAACAGGAGATTGTTTCACTGGGATCAGACAAGCTGTGGGCAAAAAGGAAACTCGGTGATTAAAGCTTTAACAAAAACCTACACAAATTAGCAAAAATTAAAAAGTCAAAGATGTAAAGTGTTAGCAAAGATGTGATATAATGGCAACGCTCTTAAATTGCTGGAGAGTATAACAACTCTGGAAAAGAGTTTGGCAGTATTTATATGTTTGAAGATGCACACACACACACACACACACACACACACACACACAATGGTCCAACACTCCTGGTTCCACCGCAGGTCCCAAATGGAATCAACCCCTGTCCATCAACAATACAATAGATAAATAAGAGCATATTCCTACAATAAATGCGAAAGCAAACAAATTACAGCCATCAGTAACAACATGGAAGACTATCTCAAACAATATATTAAGAAGCAAACCACTAAAGAATATATACAATATGATTTCATCATGCAAAGTTTAAAATAGGCAACACTAAATATATAATTTAGGGATTCATACACAGGGAGTAAACCCATACAGAAAAACTTAAAAAAAATGGTTATCACAAAAGACAGAGTAGTGGTTCCCTCCAGATGAGAGGTTTTGTGATAAGGAGTGGGGCATACAGCCATGTTCTGGAAGCTGAGAATATTCTATTAATATTTCTTGGCATTTTCAGTGGTTAAATGGTTATTTTATTCATTGATCTGTAACTATTAATAGTATGTATTTTATGTATGTATATTTCACAATATAAAAGGTTAAAAGCCCTTAAATAACCTCTAAATTACTCATATGTAAAATGTTCATAAAATCATGTACACAGGACCTCAGAGAGATAAAGCAGACACCTCCCTTCATTTTACAGATCTCAGAGAGGTGGAAGTGATTTGACTAAGGTTTCAGAAACAATGGTAAGGAAGGAGTAAAGTCTAGTAAAATATTTTAGTATTCCTTCTATTTAGGGTGGGAGGGACTGTCTTCATATCAACCTAAAATGAAAGACAAAGTAAATGGAAGATTATTATGTAGGAAATGAATAAGCCAGTGCACAAAACATACTTAAAACAGTGACTGGCACCTACTAAGCAGTCAAATGCTATTAATATTTTAGTTAAAATATGTATAGCATTTCCAATATAGCAAACATTTAATTAAAAAATTAAAATCATGCTGGGCACGGTGGCTCACGCCTGTAATCCCAGCACTTTCAGAGGCCAAGGTGGGAGGATGGCTTGAGGCCAGGAATTTGAGACCAGCTCTACAAAAAATAGAAAAAAATTAGCTGAGCATGGGTGGTGTGCACCTGTAGTCCCAGCTACTCAGGAAGCTGAAGCAGGAGGATCACCTGAGCCCAGGAGTTTGAGGTTGCAGTGAGCTATGATGATGCCACTGCATTCTATCCAAGGTGACAGAGACTTTGTCTCAAAAAAAAAGAACAAAATCACTTTTTAAGTTTTTAGAAGATTCTAAAATGCCCCAGTCTTAGCCAAATTAACTTTGTAAAAAAGAAGGACCAATTTAAAATACTTGAGAGTAATATTATCAAGTATTCTGCTTTTTACAAATACTCCTGATAGTATATTCTCTAGTCCTCTTTCAAATAAATGGCACAGGCAGAAGAACAGAGCTGGGAGGACTGTCCCAGAGGGCCTAGGGAATCACATCAAGGTCAGAATCGCCGCAGGAGTGGCATGACGGTGAGCTCAGAGCTGATCCAGACCGCAGGCTGGGACTAGGCCGGACACTTGGGGTGGGGCAGTCACAGCTGTGGGACAGCACAGTGGCAGTCTGTGCCTTCAGCCTGGGCTGCCAGTTAGAATCACCTGGGATTCATCCCAGCGATTCTCAGCGATTCTGATTAAACTGGTCTGCACTGGGCCTGGGGCATTGGCATTTTGTAAAAGTTCCCTGATAGCTGGAATATACAGCTAAGGGTGAGACTGGCTAATATGAAGCCTCAGGACCCAGCCAAAGAGGCAAAGTGAAAGACCCACAATGTCACATTAGGAGAGAGAAATGACCAGCTGTGGGACTCAGTGGGAGTCTTTAAGGAGAGGGATAATCAGGATTTGTCTCCTTCTCTGAGATCCTCACTCTGGTGTGAAGACTGGGTGGAGAGGAAATAAAGAGGAAAACACATATACTAGGCTCTTACCGCTGTGGTTAAGGCAAGAGATGGCGGGAGCCTCACGCAGGGCCAAGCCACGGGATGAAAAGGCATTTTCAGAGAGAATCAGTAAGTCTCGGTGGGTGACTTACTGAGAGAGGAGCAGAGAGGAAATATCAGAGACGACCCTGAAGTCCCCACCAGACAAGAGGCCATGCGGTTAGTGGAGGCAGAGAGCACACGACCGCGAACGTACTTGGGGAGGGGATGGCAGATGGGTTCTGTTTCAGGCCTGATGTGTTTGATGAGTGAAGTGTCCCGAGATGTCCACGAGGTGGTGGGACATGCGGATGCGCACATCCAGGGAGGATTCAGGCTGGAGGTAAAATAAATGAATTCGCAGGACTGCAGGAGGTCTCTTGGAAGCACATAATAAACTCACTCTCCCGGGTCCGCAAGCAAAGAATATATTGCTAATGACTTAATTAATCCCCACCTTTAATGAACAGTTTGTGCCCTAGACAAAAAGGGGGTAGCATTGCTATTCATAATCGTTGGATTAGGTTTCCACCTCATCTTTATCCTGGTCTCCCTTGAGGTACCCATCAAGGGGTCCACTAGTGTGAGTTTCTTTGGTTTGCCATCGACGCAGCTGGCCTCATTGCCTCGATTTTTCATTAGCACCTACTTCTCCATCAGACCACTCACATTCAACATCCTCAGACAAGTTGGTGCAAAGGTAAATTTCATTTTACTTCAGAAATAGCACGTGTCTAGTTCAGGTCATTTAGCACAGTTTCAGGTCTAAAATATTAACCAACCACAGAAGCAGGAATTCGTTAGTTTCCAGTTTCAAGGATTAACCCGTCTCTGACTAGGATTTAAGGAGATGTGAAAGGAAGTTGTTCACTCCATGTTAAATCAGATTCCCTTTTATCTGCCAAAAGTCAGCCATTGAGATTCCTTTTGCTTTATGATACCTCAAAGCTCTGTTTCTGAAACTGCTCTTTTTGTCCTTTTTTTCTTCCAAGAACAACAGGCTACATCAGCCCTGCTCCTCCCCTGCAGGTGGGTAATTTTAATTGGACACCCTCTTTGCGAGGCTCAAGGCTACACCCCAGTTTTGTGCACCCTTATAAAGTCCTAGATAGTTATTAATAGTTCTACAGCAACACTTGTTGGATTAAAAATAACTGAGACGTCACATTTTTAGTTAAACCCCAACTTGGTGACTTAAAGTCTATAATCTCCTTTTTGAGAACAGAAAACAGCCCCTCTTTTATTTTGCCACTTAAATCAAGGCTCTGCAGGCACGATGCTCTGAGAGTCCAAGTGAGAAACGCAGGGCGAACCTTCAAAGCACCTCCACCAGTGCAGGGTCCAAGGAGGTAAGCTCATTATGGAAAATCCAGTTGCCATATTCTCCTACTATAATCACAGTAATTCCATCCTTATTACTTCTAAAAAGAAACGTTCTCTCAGGAATTCAAGGTATTATTTTAAAATATTCTGGTGTTTAATTTTTTTTTTTTTTTTTACTACTTACTGTCACATGTAATTTGGAAAAGAATCTGTCACGCTAACCCAATTCCATACCTTAGACTGAGGAGAAATTTGACCCAATGCTAATATGCATCCCCAGCCTCCTTACCAAATAACAGAGTCTTGTGACGTAACTCTCACAACAGGCAACACGAGAGAGAAAATGTTATTTGAAAATAAACACAAAGTAATTAATGCTGCAATCGGTGCTGTGTCATTCTCTTTGAAGTGTTCTTTTATGCTACATCCTTTTCTTCATTGGCACCATTTTAATTCACCATTTAAGTTTTAGATTTTTTAAAGTTAATCATTCGAAATACTTCTGCTACTCTTCCTTCCCGTGCTTTTTACATGCATACTTCTTTTATTCATTCTGTGACTTTTCGCCGGCTTTCTCCCACGGAATCGTAGAGAGGAGCAAATAAGGTAACACATGTGCTGTGCTCAGTGGAGGATAAAAGTTCAACATTCCAACCCCAGGCAAATCCAAGTATTTTAAGTCTCTTTCTTTAGAGCAAATAAGGTTAAAATCCAGGAGTGTATATATAGAATACCTCGCAAATCGGTGTCTTCCTCACTCGTAGTCATGCCATTTGATCACTTTCATTTCTTGGTAAAAGAGCAAGAGAGTGGCTCATAGATCCTTTCTGTGCCCTTGTTATTCTAAAAGCTGGAGTGGAACAGCCTGGGAAACCCTTTCCCTCAACCAGATCGCTGCCTTCTCCCCCGTGTCCTCCTCCATCAGCTCTCGACCAAAGGATCATTCCCGGCTATGTGCTTTCTGCACGTTGAAAGAACCGACTCACACCCACAGCTGGGTCCTTTCCTCTGGCTCACTGGAGTTCCCATGCTCGGCTGCTGTCCCCACCTCCCGCCCTGCTCTCCTAAAGTGTCTGTTCTCCGTTACTCTTCATCTGTCACCAGTCAATAGCAGTAAGAGGACTGTGGCACTGGTGGAGTGAGTTTTAGGAGCTAAGGATGGACAGCAGGAGAGGCCAGCCATAATGTTCCTGAGTAACATTCTGAGAGCTTGAGCCTTCATCCTGCAGCCATTGATCGGAGTGTAACAGCAGGGAAGTGTCACGAGTGGTTTTGGGTCCTAGAGTGAACCCCTGGACACCCTGAAGAGGGCCTGTGGAGGGAGTGTGACCAGAGGAAGCACGAAGGGCTAATGCTGAGGCCTCCCCAGCCCCTTGAACAAGAAATGACAGGTGGCAGGGGGAAGAGAGGGCAGGAGGAGGAAAAGAGATAAAGAAAGCACATTTGACAGACCTTAGCGACTGCCGGGACATGGGGAACGGGGGAACTGAGGCTCCTGCAATGCCCAGCTTGCTAACTGGGGCAACTGCAGTCAAGATCTTAGCAAATGAACCTTGTATTTGTGTCTTAGTTTTATTATTAAAAAGTGAAGGAAGATATTGAAACTCATAAATTAAGCGAAATACAGAATAGAAGTCCTTCTATATTTGGAGATGATACACCATTTCCTACTCTTCTTTCTTGAACTCAGAGTGGAAATTTTTTTGGTCTTGGCTTATGGTTGAAAAACTTCATTTTTCAAATTCAAATCACTCTATCTTTATGTCCTGTCATCAGTGACTCCCTTAACAACTCCTGTCTCTCTAATCTCATTTCTTCCTACCTCCACTCTAAGCAAGTTCTTCTACTTGCTGACACCTGAATAGGACTAAGAATTCCCCTTTTCTTTCCCTATGCTATTTTCTGCACCAGAAAATTCACCCATTCATTCAACAAATAATTATTGGCAATTAGCATACAAGGATAAATAGAATAAGCTACAGTACCAACCTTCAAGAAGCTCATAATATATGTGTGTGAGGCAAGGCGAAACCCCAAATAACACCCTCACTGCCCTGGCCTATGGTTGGGTGGGGCACAGAAGTACAAACAAATCTACCGTTGGTCACTAGAAGGACACATCACATCCAGAGGGATCAGAGAAGGCTTCGTTTGAGGTGTCCTTAAACTATTTTAACAGAGGCTTTTCCTGTAGTTTCCAGAAGGGCAGAGAACACATCTGTTTTAATCACTACATACTACTGTGCATAGTTCCTGCCACGTGGGAGCCATGATAGGTGTGTGGGACGAGGGGCATTCACACATTTACTCTGTCATTCTAGCGGAAGCCACAGCATGAACGTGGAGAGTGGAAAAGTAAAGGACATGCAGGCTAGGGAAGAAACACCATATCCTGCTGGAATATACACATCTGTTTAAAAACAGTCAGATAAGCAAATCAGGTGGATCAATGCCCCAGAAATGGAAGGCCTTGAACAGCGTGCACTTAGTTCACTGGGCGGCGGAGGGACGGGGATGCATGTGCAGAACTCACGGGAGGTTTTAATCAGAGGTCTGCACCTGTGAGGAACGCTCAGTGTGGAGAGCAGGAGGCAGAGAAGCCGTTCACACGGAAGCAGATGAGTTACAGGGAAGGGAGCACAAAGTAAGATGGTGCCAACGGAATGGATAAAAAAGCAGATTGAGACTGACTGTGGGGCAAAGGTGAAAGGTCTGTAAATGAGAGGACCAGGGGGTTCCATGTGGTTCTCATATTGCTTTTAAAATTGGAATAGTTGGCAGCATTGAAAGAACAAAACCCCAAAGTTTGTACATAAAAACTTGGATTTCTGACTTCTCCCTAAAAGTCACAAGACGTCACGACACTGGATCTGCCAGGAACAAACAGCGGGAGCTGAGCACTGCTGGTCCTCCAGCAGATAAGGACAGTGGCCCCATCCAACCCGCTTCACCCTTAATGCGGCTCATTGGCACTGTGGGTACTTGGGTTTTCGAGCTTGCCAATAAGATCCGACTCTCCCGTGTGAGAGCCAGAAGACTTGGACCATTGCCAAGCTGGGAAATTAGGGAGATCTTTTTAAGAAGATGCCCACCATAGATTGAGAAATGCTGAGCTGGTCACCTTTGCGTCCTTCGTGACCTAATTCACTGGTCTCCAATTTTCTTAGCTCTCCACACTTAGAGCAGAAGCTAGTCTATAGCTGCTATCTACACTGACAGGGTGAGAACAAAATATTTTATAGCTTCTTACTTTGAGATGAAACAAGACTGAAAGTTGAAAAAAATGTGTGGGACTAAGTGGGAAAAGCAGATATTTGGCTCAGGGGAGCTTTTAAGGCTGGTGGTGATCGAGGTCACGCTCAGGAGCCAGATTGCTTTGGTCTGAGTCCCGCTCTATGTCCTTGCTGTGGGACCTTTGGGCAGGATACTTAACCTCTCGTCTCAAGTATTTTCATGTTCATAAGTCAGGGATGGAAATGTACCTGTCTCAGAGGGTCACGAGTTAAGAAATGCAGTGTTTAGAATGGGGCCTACCAGAGTAAGAACTTAATAAACTTCAGCTACGATTAGCAACTTTATCAGAGAAAACAGCTTTGCATAGCTAACTTTCACTAATTTCTAGTCCAGGACTGGCCTGTGTAGTATTCAGATCCTACTGGAATTTCCTGCTCCCAAAATGTGCTTCTAGGTTTCTGGAATCCTCAGTGAAATCCTCAGTGCTTCTCCAAACCTGCCTCTTAATTTCATTTCTTGATACAGAGCTGCAGGTAATTTCTATCTTCGTAAGCCGGATCTGCAGTTGTCCTGGCTACAAGGTATCTCCCTTTGTCCTGGTTCCAAAGATAAGAAGTGCCCTTCCCCTGAATAGAGATTTTGAATTTGCCTCTTATCCTTCTCTGACTTTGTAACTGCCTCCTTCACCCCTGGGGCTCTGTGGCTTTGAGCCCTTGGAGCACGAGGTCTGGTCCATGTCATTTTTGTGTCGCAGTGGCTAGTTAGGCTATGCTATGCTATGCAGAGTTATGCTAACTCCACCTGTGATGAGGCCTGGGGTGTTAGGCTCTGGAGCCTAAGACAGAAAACTCATGAATAACCTTAGACTAACATACATGTTTAATCTTGGTTCTGCTACTATACAGCAAGTTACTGAACCTCTCTGTGCCCGTTTCCCAACTTTGAAATAGAAATAATGATATCTACTTGCATAGAGTTGTTGTGGAGATAAAATGAGTTAATTAGCACATGTAATGAATTTAGCAAAGTACCAGTTGATGGCATACCAAGGGTGGGGTGGACAAAGCGGTCTGCCGCATTAAGGGATGTACTGGTTGTAGGGAATTTATGAGTAATAAAATTTACTAAAACTTGATCGGCTTTTCATTATCACCATGCTCCAGCAATTCCAAACAGCAGTAAAAATGCAATACCCAGGCCAGCTAGGGTACAATGCTCTCACCACCTCCTCCCTTGGCATACCACTGGTGCCAGTGACATGGTATACTCACAACAATTAATGATTAATTTAAAAAGATAGAAAAAAAAGAAATGCAGGATGCTCAATGAATGCAATAATATACACATAAAAATACTTTTTTTTGCAGGCACTCATTCCATAGTTGCTGTATAATTAAATAGCTGACTTAAATTTATCCCCAAGCAATAAAGTTGATTTCCTTTTAATGGCATCACTGAAGAGCCATTTTGGTTATCACAGTCCAGTTGGCTGAAATGGTCTTACCACTACTGATGAACAGGTCTACTAGCTGTTCCTTAGAGAAACCAGTATCTACTTCAGCTCTCACTATTTCACAGGAGAATCCTGCAGCCATTTGTCTGTGCTGCGAAAAGAAAACAGAGTGCTTAGTTCTGCACACTTTCCAATTTTCTAAGAAAAAGAGATGATATACAAGTAATCGATACCTTCAGGCAGAGTGCAAGCTGATGTACTATGTAGTCTTGCAAGCTTCCTTCTGGGCCATGGAAAATGACATTATGATATTGCTCAACCTATTAATAAACCAAAAAGAGACCTTAGGTGAAGATGCTAAGTTGAGAAGAGAAAATAGGAGTATACAGGTGAGGAATTCCCTTTCTGATTGTCCTTAGACTTTCAAAAGATTAAAAATAATATTTTAGAGATTAGCTTTATTCATTGGAATTGAATGAATTAGTCTTTCATTTTCATGTGAAACATGGGCAAAGAGTATTTAGCAAGAGCTGACATTTTATGAAAAAGCATATACTTTCTTCCCTGTACTTTCTATAATGAGCTTCAGCATGTTAGCTGAGAAACACAGTTCTAAGTGTATCTTGTCCCTTGCAGATTTTGTTTCTTCTTTATTGTCTTTTGCAGATATTCTTTACTTTCAATTTTCCCAATGCTTGTTTTGCTTTTTAGGGGTTAAAGTAGAAATGCATTTCATTAAGGAAATTTTGGAAAATACTAAGATATTTAGAGAAGATTAAAAATTACTGATAGTGTCAGCACCAAGAAGCAATCAGTGTAAATACTGTGTTTCCCTCCAGTTTTTTCTTTGCATAGTGGATGTGTGTGTGTAAGCATTTGTAAGTTTTTTTTAAAGAGGCGTACATGAGTGCAATCTTTTCACAGCTGTTGTATATCAGAGAGTATCTTTGTGTTGACTTCTTAGGTAAAAGATATCTTGATGATTATAAAACTCTGGGATCAACTTCATATACTACACCATTCTAGAATTCAGTGTTTCAAAGAAATGTAGGTAGAGATGGATCGCTTTTATTTCATAAAAAAGAAAATCTCCTGCCTGGATGCTTATAAATTTTTTTTAACCTTTATCCTCGTGTATATGGATACCTCACCTAAGAACACATGGAGATCCAGCATGCAGTCGGATGGAAAGGAAATTATCATCCACATAGAGCAAGGGCGGTGATGTCTGGAGCAAGATGTCGAGAGGGGAAGGCAGCCTCCCACTTTTCTCACCCCAGGGCTGAGACCCCTGCCACCTCCCAGCACACACACTTGGGAGCAGCTTTCTTATTGTTAGGGTCTTGCAGAAAAGAACATGGGCAGGTGAAGCTCCACCCTAATCGGTACAGTTGCTGTGGTTCATGTGTGAGATTGAGCCACCCAGATTTGGAGAAGTGTTAAACACGAAAGGGCCTGTTATTTCTGTAATTTGGAACGGGACAATGTAAGGACAGGTATGTGTATCTTTGTGCTGTTGTAGCTCTATTGTGCTCTGATGAGGTTGTTCCTTTGAGATCCCGGGGGAAGGCCACACCTTTGAGGGTGGCTGGGGTGGACCTCTGTGAAGACAGTAAATATGCCCCTGCTCCTTCACTACAGGAAGAGGCAGATTCTGGGATAGGAAACGAAGGCTTGATGGGGGGAAGCACTTAGCATGGGGGGATGAGGGAACTTCTTCCTTACCTGGGGCCTTTAAGACTTGATCTTTGGCCTCCAAGGAGACTAAGGCATGCTTGTGGGAACTCCTGGAAAGTGGAGGAAAGCCAGGCTTGGCCACCAGGTATCAGAGCTTAAGCTAAGGAGGGAAAAGGTCATTTAAGGGGCTCCTTGCTGCTGAGTTTGGGACTGGGGTTTAGGCTTTGAAAGACAACATATCTGGTAGCCACCATTCATTTTCTCTGAGTTTGAATACTATTCCATTATTGCTAAGCCTTCACTAAAAGGCTTACCAATGTCTGCAGGAAACATGACAGTGGCTGTATCTGCCCAGGGAATGTCAGGATCCGAAGCCATAGGATGCACTCAGCAGTGGGCTGTGAACCAAGCAATGGTGGAGGTGCAGGTAAGGACCAGGACTGAACAGGGACTTCCCCAGAGACACAAGAGAGAAGAATATCCTAGAAAGTTAAGTCGAGGTTCTGCTTCTAGGTAGTAAGGCTATGGAGCCACAAGACGACTTCAGGGGTAAATTATTATTAAAGAATAATCATTGAATAATAAAGAATTATTGAAGAATAATCTGTTCTCATTTATATTTATGAGATGGGAAAGCCTAGGAGACAGATTGTACTTGTCATTAAAAATTATCACACAGATTTGTCTGGTTATGGCCTCTTTCTCCCAATTTTAAATAAAACATGGTAAGTCCTCTTGATATGCACAGTCAGGCCTCTTTTGGTTTAGGAAATTTTTCTTCTATCATGTTTTTGCTAATTTCTCTCCTCAGAATGAAAACTCTGTTCTGCGGTATTCTTCCACAGATGTAATGTAATTTGTTATTATTTATGGACTGTGAAACCACAGGAAGCGTTTTTTAGTAAAGCAGAAGTGTGGACCCCATTGGCTTCTCTCACCGTCCACTAGGTTTCTGGCTAACTCTCCTCCTCAGGTCACTGGGTGGATGAAAAACCAAACTCCAGTTGCTTGTCAACTCCAGGGTCTGGCAAAGGCTGCAGTGGAATGACCTCCTTCTGTCCGACACAGCAGACAAATGCATGAGGATAAACTGTAGTCTCAGGACGCACCCCAGCCCAGGCTGCTCCTGTGTCCACCCACACAAAGGGCTTAAGGCTAATATCCCTCCTGGGATGTGGCACAGTCTTGCCAATCCCCATCAACTCCTTGAGCAGGTATTTCTAGGAGCTGCAGTCTCTAAATGGATACGAAAGGATCTCCAGGGAGTGGAGGAGAGGATCACAGTGCTGCAAGACACAGAGACTACACAGGATAAATGCCCAATTTTCTAACTGGTATACATGTTGGTTTTTTGAATCACCATGAAGATTTTAAGAGAAAGATGACATTGTTTCCCTACCTGATTTCAGGTAGGCCTCACATAAACGGGCCTAATACTCTATTGCTCCTAAAAGTAGTAGGAAATGTTTCCAGATTCTTGTCAAAGGGAGACCTCAGTTCTATTTTTCTGTGTTATTGTGAGAATTTGTCACTTTTCAAAAGTACTTTTGTAGGAAATTGTGTATTAGGTACTTCTAGCCAGGTGCAATTTTAAACCAGAACTCTCCAGCTCTCCAAATTAATCCCAAATTGCTCTGACTTATTGGGGAGAAACTTTCTCACAAGGAATAGATTGTTTCGCAGAGTGAAATAGGATACAGATTTTGAAGATTTACTAAAAATAAACAAGCTACAGATTTTCAAGATTTACCCCTGAGATTTTCAACTAGCATTGCTATTTAATCCCATCTCACTTCTGAAAACAAGAGTGCTCTATTCATTATAGCCATCCTGTCAAATTGCCTGCATTTTCTTAAGATTGATTTTGAAATCAGATAACAGAAAGAAACTCAATGTCATAAACTGTCTTCAATTTCAACACCTCATTTGTTCTCAGATTGTAGGTTTTTAGGAGATACAGACAGGAAACACTTGATTTAAATTTCATTGAAAAGGCCATTCACTACGGTAAGCCCTTTGTGTTTAGTTTAATATCCTTTGTGGGATAAGGTAGAATATAAATAAATAAGTGAATTAAATAGGTAAAGAGAAAAACAAACGTATAGACTTCTGGATCATTCGTACATGTTAATGCATGCATTCCATTAGGTTTCTTCTCTTTTCAGGTATCACCAATTTTTTGTTAATGGTATTTTGTTATCTCATGAAATGATATAGTTGTGTCGGTTACCATTTAAAATCTGAATGACAAAAAAAATTAGCTTAATTACTGGGAACCTGTTACTCTATGGAGACTGGTGTAAACATACAAAGCTCTGCCAAGAAATTATATATCTGTTTTGGAGTTAGTATATTACATATTTCCAAATATCAAGATCTTGGGTATGATGAATGTACATGCTCCATGCTTCCAGCAGAGGGCTCTACAGATAGACAGATAGGCAAGCAGATTTTTGGTGGCAGTGGTTTATAAGTACCACAATTCAATTGTGTTGAAAGAAGATCTGGTCTTTGGAAAAGTAGATCAAACACAACTTTTAAAATTACAGACTGAATTATAGTTACCAGAATTATTTCCTAAGTGCACGTTTACAGTGTGACATTTCTGCTTATTAGTAAAGGGACACTGGCCTCATTATCACAATTGGTACCAATCTCTTTTATTCTTGTGTCTTGACAGCCTATTCAGGAAACTCATCACATGTCAATTAGTGCTTTGTGAGGCAAATGGATTCTGGATTAAATGGAAACAAATGACCTCAACAATAGACCATCCATCCATTTATTTATTTTTTCCTCCACGATGTTTCCTGCAGAATGGGGTTTACTAGAGGAGCCGTGGTCTACACCAGCAGTCCCCAACCTTTTTGGCACCAGGAACCAGTTTCATAGACAATTTTTCCACAAATGGGGGATGGAGGGGGTTAGGGAATGGTTTGGGGGTGATTTAAGGGTATTACATTTATTCTGCAGTCAAACCTCTCTGCTAATCATAATCTGCATTTGCAGCCACTCCCCAGCGCTAGCATCACCGCCTCAGCTCCACCTCAGATCAGGCACTAGATTTTCACAAGGAGCGCACAACCTAGATCCCTCGCATGTGCAGTTTACAGTAGGGTCCGTGCTCCTATGAGAATCTAATGCTGCTGCTGATCTGACAGGAGGCGGAGCTTATGTGGTGATGTGAGCCATGGGGGCAGCTGTAAATACAGATGAAGCTTTGCTCCCTCACCAGCCGTTCACCTACTGCTGTGTGCCCATAAGTGGCCCAGTTCCTAATGGGCCACGGACCAGTACCAGTCCACGGCCAGGAGTTGGAGACCACGGGTCTACACTACTGTCAATGTGGCACCTACAATGTATTTTCAGATTTGTGGCATTTTAAAGTAATAAACCTGAACTTTTGTTTGGCATTTTACTTGTCATATATAGTCTGAAGAAAAGTTTCTGTCCAGAATCCGTTTTAGGCCAACTTGTGCTGAGACACTAAACTCAGAAAAGAATGAAAATAAAAGGGCTTTTGGAGCCAATAAAATTGGGGTGGCTCTAGCTTAAAGTCACATGCTTTATGGCTAGGAATTTTATTCCAACCTCTTCTGACATTCAGTTTTAAAGAACTAATTTATTTATGACTTTAGAGCCA